GTGTGTGTGTGTGTGTGTGTGTGTGTGTGTGTGTGTGTATGTGTGTGTGTGTGTGTGTGAGATTTATTTTTGGGCTACAAAATGTTCGAATCCGCTACTTTTGGAGCTCCCATTCGCTACTTTGTAATCTTAAGTTCTGGCAACACTGGGTATGACATAGGCATTCCACGAAAGTATGAGATAGGAGGCAGACGAAACTGAGCCTAGTAACGGTTCGGCTTATATTTAAGCTTTTTATATGCTTCTTACTACCATTCTATATGCTTCTTACTGCTATTAAATATATTTGTTTCAGTTACCTCTCTAAAATAGTAAGCGACGTTACAGACGTTTACGTTAAGTTATACACCCAAAAGGGCATTCAACTTTAAGTTACATAGTTTTGCTGCACGTTGCATATTGTATTGTTATCGACTTTCTAAAAAAATATCGCCATTACAATATAATACTATATAATCTTGTCATCAGAGCTCACACTATTTTATCCAAAAAAAATAGTGCTTTCTAATATTGTATTAATATAGCTAACGTAAAACATATGAATACAACAGTGTGAAGAATATCAAAAAATTTGAAACGTTAATAGTAACTTAATGCAACATACATAATTATATATATATCACAAATTTAAAAAATTTCAAATTTTATTTAAAAAGAAAAAGTTACAAATAATATAAATAAAAGATATAATCTTGTCATCAGAGATCACACTATTATATCCAAAAAAAAAATAGTGCTTTCTAATATTGTATTAATATAGCCAAAGTAAAACATATGAATACAACAGTGTGAGGAGTACCAAAAAATTTGAAACCTTAATAGTAACTTAATGCAACATACATAAAATAAAAAATGCAAAATAAAATAATCAAGCAAGAAACGAAAATATAAATTCAAAGAAATACAGAATAAAACTCAAAATGTAATATACGGCGAGTTGCGAATTTAAATGTACCTACAGGCATTTTTCAAAAATGATTTAAAAGAGTACAGAAGTGCTATGGTACTAGGCTACGGAATTGAACACAGATTGCCGTAAAGTTAAAATTGGGTTGGCTGCTCAGCGCCTATATAAAATAAAATAAATAAGGTTTAATTATACTTATAAAATATTAATGTTAATAAGGTTGAATTCAGAGAAATTATTAGCATTTAATAAAAAAATATTTTATTTTTAAGATTTTTTTTATTAAATTTTTTTTTTAATTTTAAAAAATTCTTAATTAAATGTTTGAAGATTCTTAGTCACGGATTTGCCCCCTTCTCAGCACACACTATCACGAGAGATTTGAAGAGAATAGGATGTTTTTATGTTAAAGAGAACGACACCTTTTCTATGTCATGTTTGTGTCTAAATAAACGAATAAAAAGACACATGGTCCGTCATTTATACATAGACAATTTATAAATAGCTTTCATCATCTCTATATCTTAAACACACCCCTGCTTAAAATATAAATTTAATTAACAAAGAAATTTTTAATTATAACATAAACGATGTTATATAGAATTTAATTGCATTAGTTGGATATCCTTGTTTTTTATTAAATTTTGAAAGAGTTCGTTTATTTGTTTTCTCGATAAATAAACATTGCTACAATTTTTTTTAAGTCTATTCATTTGATACAAAAAGGTATTTCAACAAATGTTTTTAGAAACATTAGAATTTTGTGTTATTAGTTTATGTATATTAAATTTAAAATCATTTCTTTATCGTATAAATCAACAACGCAGATATTTACTTTTTTAATAAAACCCAAATCCAAAAAATTAATATTATCGTAATGATTAAGAAGCAAGATTAATTCCTCTGGGTAAATATTATTTAACAAAAATGTATCATTGTCAAAATTAAAGACAATTAAATCACCAATAAATCTAAAAACAAATTTAAAATTGAGAGTATAATTTTTTTCGTAATAATGTAGAAAAATGTTAGCTTAGAGACATAAAAAATTAGATCCTTGTGGTATTCCATCAATTTAAACAAAAATATGTTTTCTATTGTAAAGATAATTATTAAAAAGTCAATTATGAATTAGAGTTTGCCAATAATCGCAATTGCATTAATCATAGTAATAACTCATAAGAACCTATTTTCAGTTTAGAAAGGAAATTGTTGTGTCTAAAACAAGTTGATTATTAGTGATAATCCAAGAAAAATCTTCTTTAGTAATATTGTTAATCATTTTATTTAGATAAATGGTGCCAGGTTTAGTTAGGCAAGAATTAGACCAACAATTGATAGTGCTAAATTTTGTAGAAATTTTGGACTGATTAGTTATGGAAATTACATATTATTAGTTTTAAATTTTAATTTTCTTATATAAAGCTAAAACTTTTACTATTATTCAACTCCATATTTAAAAGTTCAACATAGATTTTTTACTTTTTTGCATTACATTAAATACACACAAGCATATATATATATATATATATATAATGACATGGTTCCGAGATAATCTTAATTTGCCTTAATTTAGGTAATCAGTTCAAATTCAATTTTAATCCATCAAAATTTTACTGTAATCCATTTTAACACTCTTTCTGTAGAATGAAGATTCCATTAAAGCTTTTACTGAACATGTAGTATTAAGAAAGAGATTAAAATTAAGCTATTCACAAAATATGCATGGAGCCGTAGCTCTTTCAAAATATCTTTACAAATTCATTTTCAAAAGACGAGTTCACATTCATATGTTGTTTTCGAACTTATCCAGATTTCTTTGTTAGGGTTGATGCCGTAAGAAGTAATCATAAAACCGAACGAAGATATAATTAAAATCACAAAATATATATTAAAGTGAATGGTTTCTAAAAGAGATTTTGCAAATAAAGATTGCAGTTCTATCAATTTAACGTAGGATTAAATCATATGCGCACAATTGTGCGTGTGTGAGAGAGAGATCTTTAAAATATTCTCATGTAGGAGGGGCAAATCTACATTTTAAAATACAATTCTACTTTAAGTTTCGTTTTTAGATCCCATAATTCTATTTAGCTATTATTTTAGATGTTTATATATATATATGTAATACAAAAGTTATAAAAATACTTTTGTATTAATAAAAGCATTAAAACTTCATTCGTTTTCATGAAATATCTTTAGTAAAAGATAAGGGTAGAAATTCTATTTTGGGACTTCAAGGCTAAAAACATGCCAATGAATAATAATTAGATTTTTTTTGGTGTATAATGTTTACCAACTAAACTTCGTCAGATCTGACTGTAACTCTGTCTCTCCCTCTGGAGAGGGGTGAAACTATATTTCACCATCGTTTAGCTAAATAAAAAAGATTATGCCGAAACTGGACTCGTTAATCATGCTGCTTTTACGTTATTAACTAAAAAATATCGGTGTGGATACACCGAATATTTCATATATATATATATACAGTCGAAACTCTATTTAACGAAGTCGCTAAATCACGATAATAAATTCGTTATATGGAAAATTAGTTAAAAAGAAAATCACCTATTAAAATACTAAAACAACTCAAAACAGGTTTTAAATTCATAAACACTAGGCATAATTAAAATAGCAATTGGTACACCTTTATCTTGTAATTTATTATCGACAATTTATTCTATAAAACTTAACCATGAAATAAATCTGCATGGAAAGCGAGAATAGAGCAAAACATTGTCCAGCAGTACATGCTACCTACATTTTCAACTAAAAAACAGATCAATTTATGCATAAAGTTATAGCTGCATTTATTATAAAAGTAATTTTAAAAATACATTACCACATGCGTTCTTAAGTTTAATTGCTACTGATAAAATCCGTTCATTTTGTCTGAGTTCTTCGTTTGAAATGCAAACAAAAAGGAAAACGGATTTTACCGCTTTCTCTAAAATTTAAGTGGCTTCGAAAATCAATTTGAGGTCATTTCCCCCATAAAATGCGTTAACAAGTTTGAAATGTTCGAAAACATTTTGGAAAATAGGATCTCAAAGAAAAGCTTCGCTATTCGGAAGATATTTTATGAAGAAATTAAGAAAATGTTCTTGGTTCCTCGAAAAAGATCGCTAAATAGAGAAATTCGCAAAATGGAAGTTCGTTAAATAGAAGTCGGATACTTATTTCATTTTCTAATTTTTTTTTTATAAAAAATAAAACAAAAAATCAGAGGTAACCTCGCTTGTACATCTTTTTACACCAAACACTAAAAAATACACTATTCACTTTTTCTTGTAGCCATTTATATCCCTAAATTTTTCCCCTCGTTATCAGTCCCAACTATGTAAATTTCATTTTCAAAAAATAATCTTTATTCAACTTTATCCGGCAAATTTAAAATGTCGAAGGGAAAATGCAAAATAAATTCTTTTATTGTGACATCATTACTTGATCTTTGCAAATAACAAAATTATTTGAAAAATAAATAGGACCGTTTCATTTTATTTAAAAAATAAATTTAGAAAGAAAAAAAAAGAAACGTTTTTTGGATTCATTCCCTTAAATTTCTTTCTTAAGACTGATTTCAAACATCAGAACTGAAGAGTGGCCATCATGCAATATTGCTGAAAAGATTACTTCGTTTCCTAAACATGCAGCAAATCTTTAGTTCTTTCCCATTTTTTTTTAAATATACAACTGATTTCTTAAAATCATGTCTCTTCTTTGACACATTATAAAAGAAATTTTGCAGTTGTGGACTAAATTAGGTTAGAGAAAAAGAGATGAGACAGGACATTGAAGCAAAATGGCTTTTATTTATTTAAACAAGGAAGACAAACACTTGTCCATGAGAAAGCATTTTTTCACACACCTAAGTATAATAAATAGAAACAAAGTACAGTATGCACAAAGGAGTCACGTGGACACTCTTCCTCAAATGGTGCTTACTCTTATATCACTGCTCAGATGAGACTATAAAGGGTAGTGTCCGGAACATATGGGGAGGAGGATGTGCTAGAATGGAAAACATAATTTGGAATAGTCCGCTATATTGTTAATATTCCAGACACACCCCTTCAATTTGACTAAAATAAGTTTATACCAAAAATATATTTCGATCGCTGAATCTGAATGAAATAACATATGTAGAGGCTGAAACTGTATATATATATATGTATATACTTTCTGGCTATCGTGAGATGTGTCCTGTCCTCGCTGGAAACAACCTGAGAACACATCTCCTGATGGCCAGTCAGTAGTTCCGTCAGGAAAACCAGAGATTGAAAGTAAACAAATATTGCAGAAGATACTGTTTTGTGAAAATAATTTATAAATATTATGCAATGGAATTAATTTTAAGCCTAACAATTGATATAATTCAATTAGGGGTCGGAAAAATCTGTTATTAACCCTTTTGACCTTAATTGGACATATACATCCCAAAGATTAAACTTTATTCCCTAATGGATAAACAGATCCCAATTTTGCATGTTTTTTTTTTAATGTTTTCCGAGTTTTTTAGGCATTAGGGAATAAAAATATAACTAAAGAAACTTGTCAGCACTCTCATAATCAAATTCTGTTTGTGAGCATGCAGTCAATCTCATTTTAATTTACATATTTTCTGAATTTTGAGGTAAGTAAAACTATATTTTTGCCGTATTTTGTGTCAAATAGTTGTTTGTTCTTATTAAGTAAAGATTGTGCCTATAAGTATCAGATTTAGAAATTTCATTTTTGGATTATTGTCCCAATCTACTTACAAGTGGGACAATATATCACATTAGTGATATAAATATTATAAGACAAAATTTTAGTTCTTCTTTTGATTACTTTATAATGGCAACTTCTGGTTTCTGCAACTTCTGGTAAGACAACTTCTAGTAAGAATAAATAATTCGATGCATTTATAACCATGCAATCAATTAGTATTTTTACAATATTCAAGATGATTTGGACATATTGTCCCAAGAGATTACGAGGAAAACTTTAAACTCATAGTATACTTATTTTAATAAGTCAGTATTAAATATATTGATAAGATTTTTTGTTGTCAAATTCCATTGATTTGGATAAAATTCATAGATTAAATTTTAACACTCCTTGTCTACAAATTTGATTACAATTAATTACTACATATTAAATCGGAGATTCTAAACAATAAAATAGCTTAATAAACTGAAAATTTGATTACAATCATTGATTCTAAAATTCATATCAATTGATTTATTTTTTCAGTTTCAAAATTTCTCCACTGTGGCAGAATTGCCGCGACATTGCCTCAAAACGTCACAGAGTTTTTGCAGAAATATTTTTCATTTGGAAAGAAAAAAATTTTGTTTTGAAAAAGAAAATTTCTTTTTATTCCCCTGCAGAATTTTTTTCTTCCAAAAATGTCTTTCTTAAGGAGAGAGAAAAGAAATAATCATGATTTTTCTACTCTGATTGGAGATTTTTAAAAACATCCGTAATGACTGGGTTCAGCTAGAATTTCAAATTAATAATATAAAATAAAAAAATCAGAAATCGCAAAAGTTTGTTCGCTCTAGAAGCGATGTTCTTTCTTTTTCTTTAAAGAACACCCTATTTTACTAACACTTATTTGAGTATCTCTTTTTTAAAGAATTCTCTTCCTGTGATAGGTTGTCTTTATTCTGGGAATTACTACACGGATTTCACGATTTTTAATTTATGTTCGAATTTTGATTTATTATTGTTTAATTTATTAACGAATTTTAATTTGTGCGATGACTTACAAAATTCGAAAGAGGAAATAATCAGTGCATTTTTCCGTCAACAAAATACGAGAATATCGCTGATAATATTAGAACTTAAAAAAAAATTACTTTCACAATTAAAATTTTTTTATTAATTTTTATTCTATACTCTCTTCAGTAAACACAACGTTTCTGTTACTTCAAATTAGTAATTGTTATAATTCAAAGTATCTTAAAGCAAAAAATATTAGCGCTAGGGAAGTTTGTCGCAGAAAGCCCAAAAACCCATTCTGCCACAGGGCTTTTCTCAAACTTAAATTTGTTTAGCTGCTGTTGATTAAGATATTGGACAATAAAATAAAAAAAACATAGCAGTTTTGTTTACAATCTCACTCCTTATTTCTCTGACACACTTTAGTGTAAGAAGTTATGAATCTCTTTCAACTCTTTTATAACAGGAACTAATAAATAACATAAAAAAAAGTATTTATAAGGAACCCCCATAGTAAATATAACAGATAACATTTATTTATTTATATTAATATATATGTAGTACATATTTACACATTGTCTCACTGTATTCTTATTTTAGAGGATTTTCGTTAAAATGTTCAATCAAAACATAAGAAGTGGTTTCTGTACAATATAGATACACTATTTAAATGTTGCCTGATTATTAAGTGATAATAATTCAGTCATTAAACGGGTAGTCAAGTATCATGAACAATATTGATTACAAACTTTAAATAATGATTCATTGCAAATTAAAATACTATCACTTAAGCACTGAACCATACAATAAAACATTACTTATTTAGACTCGTATTTATTTGAATGCTTACAACTATCAATCTTGAGCTTGGTTTAGGTTGCTTTTTCGCGAAGCATTCATTTTCTGTAGGTTATTTAGTAAAAAAAAAAAACAGAGCTTGGTAGGAAAAACTTTTGCAAAAATATGTCTAAAAAGCTCTGTAGTTTATCAGTTATTATACAATAGGTTATATTTGTTATCAAATTAAAAGCAGGCTTTAAAATGATTTTGTGACAGTTTTAACATACGTATATTTAGGCTTCAACTGAAAAAAAAGCAGTCGCTGTAGTTGTGGACGTAAAAAAAAAGGGGGGGAAAGTAAAGTTTAAGCAAGGAATGTCTTAATATGAGGTACAGTGCTTACAAAATTAAACTTTAGTTGTTCCAGAAGTATCTGCAAAAAAAAAAAAAAAANAAAAAAAAAAAAAAACAATTCATAGTTTAACAATATCTGCACATAACACTTTTTTTTCAGGTGAATTGCATATCATTCAATATTGGTGGCACCAGGCTTTTCTATCCAATTTTCATATGGAAAATATTACGTTTCAATAAATTTACTTGATGACACATAATTGTGATAATTCAATAATTGTTTATATTCAATTAATTTGCTTACTTAAATTTGATAATTTAATAAATTGAGCAGGATTGTGAAGTTTAAAATTATACAATAAGTAATGTTTTACAGCTCTTAAGTCCACGAAGGAATAAAAGTTATGAGTGTGTTAGTGACTAGTTTTGAAGGAAGATGGAGCAGCCAGCAATTGCATTCTAACGCAAGACTACTACTTTAATTTACAAAAGCACAACCCCAGCTGTACAACTATGTTGCATCAAAGAAAATTATGTGGCATAGCATCAAGCATGCATCATTTACTAAGGACATAAATAACAAAAAATTTAAAACTACAGTTGTTATGCAGTAAATTGTTTGAGGTAAAACCATAGTGAAGAATGCTTCCTTAAAGAAACATATCCAATCAACTTTTAATTTAATAAAGCACAACCTCAGCTGTATAGCTATATTTCATCAAAGAAAATTATGCTGCTTAGCAGCAAGCATGCATCCCTTACTAAGGACATAAATAAGAGCAGTAGCTATGCAGTAAAGTCTTATAGTGAAGAATGTTTCCTTGAAGAAACATATCCCCGATCATCTTCACACGACTGAGATAGGAGAGAACCAAATACTAAACCACCTCTATTGTGGGAACAAAACACTATCGTGAATACATTACCCTTTTTTTGTTTTAGATAGAAATTTATTTAATTTTGTAGTCATTTTGAGTGATTATCAGAATCAAAGTAAAGTAAATATCTAAACTATATAGATATTTATTTTATTTTACAGAAATTCTGAGTGATTATATTTTTTCTTTTTTTAAACTTCGTAGTAAATGTAAGTGACAAGTAATTAGTTTCAAGTAAATTGCTCTGAAGCAATAAGTTTCCTAAATTACTAATAATTTTTTTATAATTTGAAATCGACAATAAATAAAAAAAGTTTGTGGGAAAATGGGAAAGGCCTGGCACCCCTCTAACCTTCAGTCGCTATGTCAGCTTCAGCTATTATTAACATAAATAAACAGTCTAATGAAACTATGAATAGAAGAAATTAACACTTTTTAATAAACCAGCCATTTGTAAAATTAAGAAGTCACATAACTCACAAATGCTAAAAAAACAAAACATAATCACCTCATTTGATAAAAGAAACAAAATATTAAAAAAGTTATGTACAAATTACAAATGAATGATGACTGAGTGCATCCAAGTGATGATTTGTACAGCATGCAGTGCCAAGCTATAGACTCCTACCTGGTATCTTTGTGATTAGGTCACATTTAGTTTTAAAAAAAAATAAAAGCTCAATTATTACTGTAATTATTTCCTAAGAAACAGACTGTGCTCCACACCACAAACACTGAACCAATGCAAGCATTAACATTACAATATTCCATTAAATTACAGCTATTTAAACAGTACATGCTTCAACTAAAGATTATCCCTCGATTATAACAATTTGAAAAATTAATTATAAATAATAATTGTGGAAATTAAATGCAAAATTTGCGTTAACACACTATCTGCCATGTGATTGTTTTGAACACAACTCCAATTGCAAAATCAAATTCTTGCTCAGTGATACCAAATAATCATTATTAGCAATCCTAATAATGATTATTTTAATTAATTATCATAATCAGTGATTTATTAGTAAGAAACTACTAGCTTACATAATAAAATTGGTTTCTAATTGTTTGAAATTTAATTAATTTTCAATGTAAAATTTAATTTCTAATATAATTCCAATTGCAAGATCAAATTCTTGCTCAGTGATACAAACTATTCATTATTAGGGATAATAATAATGATTATTTGAAGTAATAATCATAATCTGTGATTTTTTAGTAAGAAACTACAAACTTCCATAAAATAATTAACTTTTAATTGTTTAATATTTAATTAATTTCACCTCCACACACCTCTGATTTAAGAAAACGAATTCTTACAATAGGAAAAAAAGTCAGTTACAATACTTATTGTAAAAATAATGGAAAAAAACTCCTGCTAGTAATATCAAATAAAATCGGGGATTAGTAAGAAATTACGAACTCTTTTGTATAATAACTTACTTTCTAATTTCTCAAATTTAATTCATTGCACTACACATGCTTTTGATATAAAACAAAAATCTTAAAATGATAATTCAAGTTAATTACAACAATAAAATTTTATATTTGAGGCCATAAGAATAAAAAAATAATCAATAATTAAGTACAAAAGTACATATTTTTTATAATTATTTTACTTTTTCAATTCTCTGAATTGACTTATTTTATTTGGGTTTAATTTTGTTTTGACAACTTCACACCTGATGTTAGTGATAAAAAAAAACATAAAAATTAAATGAAATCATAAAAATAAATTTTCTATTCAAATTCAAACTATATGAAATAACTGGAATGTAATACCGAAAAAGAGATGAAAACTACATTTCATATGACTTTTAATACGAAACATACAATAATTAAGCTCATTACTTTCCTTTAAAAAAAAGTAAACAGAAAGAAAGAGAAGCGCGAGTTGTGATAAAAGATATTCTAAAATAATTATTACACTGAATAATTGAAACAAAATCAATAGATTCAAATAGCATATCATGCTCTTATCTAAACCAACCACAGCAGACATTTTTTTCAAATCATACTAATTAATCATTGTAGATAATATGATTGATTTTATATCTAAATTTACTTATAAAGAAAATTTTTCATAATTAAATTTAATAATTTTGAGGAGGAAATATTAGTTTTGCCACTGAATTTCCCATAGCGTAACACGATTCCGTCATGGCAAATAACGTGTTAACAATTGTCTAATTTCCTAGGAAAACAATAGAGAAAAATTTGATTAGAAGGCATATATCATCATCACAAAAAACTGACAAGCAATTATCATATACGTGAGGATATAAAACATCAAGATATAGAAATCATGACACATAGATTATAGTTCCAGCAGGTAGAGTTCTCCATATGAATAATGCGAATGATGAGTGAATAAAATGATTTCATATTTTTGTAAACAGAGTTGTGAGCACTGCCGCTATATATGTTCAAGCTTCATTGGATGCAATTAAAGGTTTCACTGCAGAAAACGGTGCCTGCACAGTTTGTGCAATGAAAACAAATGATGAGCACGCTCACAACCGGAAGTGGGGTTAATCCCAACCGTTCTCCTTTATCATATGAGCTAGCTCAATGATAAACTTCCCTTCTTTGTATTTTTGGCTGGATTCAAAGGCATGTTCCTGTAACACAAAAAGATAAATAAATAAATAGGAAGGAACCTTCATCTATCAATAGGTAGCTCAAGATTGAATCGAATTAGCACGTCTTACATAACACTGAATTGATATTTAATAATCCTAGTGGTAGTTATGCCAAAGAAATATTCATGTCATAGCAGTTTCAGTAAAAAAGCTAAACTCACAAGGTAACAAAACTTTAGAAATAGGTTTTAAACTAATATAAAAATTAGAATTTAAGGGAATAAATAATACAGTGAAACCTCTCAGGAGCAACCACTTTCTGTTCCAGGGTAAAATGGTTGTTAATGGAGGTTTGTCATTCTTAGGAGTTTGACTTCAAAATGTCATCGAAAGTACACGATTTCAGGTAATCGGTTTTAGTTTTAATCAGTGTCATTTTCCTGGTGCGGAGATGCCACTTATGTTGGCATCATGAAAACTGCATCGATGATTAAAATTTAGCGCCAATAGAAATGATTCCTATTTACATAATTAAGAGGGGGGAAATTTATCAATTGAATGATGGAACAATTTTAAAATAAAAAAAATAATTTTTTTGTTTAAGTTTGTATTTAATTATACATTAAATTAGTTAGCTTTAAAAGATGAGAAGTTTGTTTGTTTGGCTCAGTTTTTTTCTAAAATAACCCTTTTTTCTAATTTAACTTTTACCTCTAAAAATAAATTATTGACAGCATTATCTTTAGTGTAACATAAGGTTGTAGATCCCTTTCAGAGTTCGTCAAAAAGTGATCTCTGAATTATAGCCTCACACACATATTTTGAATACATTTTAATCTACCTATTTGTTTAGTTAATATTTTTTGTTTTGATATTTTTTTGCTTTTCCTTATTTGACTTTTTCAGATTTGGTGCATATAGAGGTTTTACCCAGTCGCTGGCAGAGGTTTTATTGGTCTCTCCTAAAGGTTTTCTTCAACACAAAGTCTATGGAAAAAATTCTGCGCTTCTCAAAAATGGTCGCTATGCAGAAATGATCTTTCCTGAAGGTCTTACAGTATTAAATAAAATATAAAATGAAATATAATTTTCTTTTATAAACATTTTTAACTAATTAAATTCAAAATATCAAAACTTTTTACCACGAGCCAATTGAAGATTTCATTTTCTTTTGAAAATTGAAACTTGGTGTGATATTTTAATTTATAAGGTTTCTCAGTAGTTTTGGATGTAACTAAACACTAAAAAAATTCAATTTAAGAATAACCCCTCAGTTTACATTTTTTTTACTTATTAATTCTTAGTACATTGATTTGTTAATTAGACTTAAAGCATTTCAAATGAACTGAATAAAAAGATTAATTCAAATTTTTTGAAACTTATCTCCATCATACAAGTCTTGCTTTATCTTCTAAAAATAGTAAATAAGTATATGACCCATAAGTTCATGATAAGAAAATTTCCCTTTTTTCATTCATATAAAATATTAATAATCATAAAAATCCAGAAACAAAAGAGAATAGGGTAGTAACGATACTTCAATCGCTTTTGAACCATTTGTAGATGGTCCCTTTGACCAACACATAAAAATTTTGCAATTTTAGAATTAAGTTTATGGTGGAAATCAGCTGAAAAAAGGAGGAATTCAATGGGTAAGTGCCATGAATGTAATTCAAAAAGTGAGATATCTAATTAGGGAGTATTCCATATCAACTATATTCCATATTCACTTCATTTTTACTATGAAAATGCCAAGAATTTAAAAAAAAAAGTTTCTAAAAGCATTAAATTCGGAGTACGAAACATGTGGTCCATGGATCATCTGCAGTCAATTTCTGAGAACCGCAATTCCCCTCCATCTTGCAAAAAAAAAATTTTTTTTTTAAATAATTGATTTCAATAATTCAAAATTTATTTGATAGTATTTATTAGAAAGGCTTATGTAACTAAAACATGTTCAAAAAAATATCAAAACTCATGCTCAAAAAATTAAAAATGGTAAACCTGGTTCAATTTAAAAATAGAGCAATGTTTCTCTAAATAAAAAAATATTTAATGTATATTTTGTAAATAATTGTAATTTGTAAATAATTCGCTCGACTGTTTCTTTTTTAACATAAAACAAATCAAGATTGCTAATATTACACTAATAAATAATTATGCTACTTCCAATTGATATAAAATTGAATATCTTTTTCACCCTATTCCCTACAAAAAAAAATTTTTTTTGCACATGTAAATAAAAAAAGTTCTAAATAGAAATGCAAAATTATGTTTTCTCAGAAAATTGCCGAACAATTGAAAAGAAATTAACAACTCAAAAATTGTATAATATTAAAACAGTTTTTAACTCTCAAGAGCTAGTTCTGGTACTCAAGAGTAAGAAAATTGTATAAAATGGTATAACAAACTTAGTAGGATAAAAAATTTTTATAGTCTTAGCCTCAATTCATTTTCATAAAATAAACACTTCAAGTTTTTGATAAAAATCTATTAGGAAATTTTAATTATAAATGAGAATGAAATATTTCGGGTAATATACCTTTTAAATAAAATAAAAAAACGCTTGTAAATAGTGGAACAACGGAAAAGAATAAAAATGACAAATCGGACGGCAATAATTAGTAAATAAGAGTTTTAGTACAATTGGTTTAATAATAAATAAAGAATAAAATATTTAATGCCATTGATTTTAACATAATTGAGATTTAAGTTTATCAATATGGTTTAAGTACTTGAAGCTGATGATAGTCTATTAAATTTAAAGCAATTTTCTAAAAAGTTTGAATTAACTCTAAATTAGATCTCATTAACTTATTTTCAATATAATTTTTTACACGAAACAGTTATAGAGTTAAATATTTAAAAATTACACATTTATATTCATTTAAAGCAATGCAAATTTTCAGTATCAAATGAACACAAATAAAAAAAATTTTAATGAGACAAATTGAATATTTTTTTTTATTTGGTTATGGTCAAACTATAAGTGTTTACAGAAATAATGGAAAATGGAATTATTAAAGAGAATTTTAAAAGAATTGTTCGTTATTTTCCGCATCGGTCTAAATCACCTTCGTTTTAAAGTATAAGATAAATAGGCTAATGGCTACTAAAGTGACATAATTATAAATAAAAGAGAACTCACATATTTCCACCCGAGTGTCGTCTTGCAACACTCGCAGTATATGTCAGCAACTGCATGAAGGCCAGTCAGCAGTACCCTCTCTTCCGCAGGTCCGCAACCCACGTTCACCCTGCAAACATCAATAAGGTCACTCTTTTTATACTTGCTAAGCATCTTATTTTGACATTCAGTAAAAGTTTTAAAAAAATACACAAATAAAGTATAAAAAATTTTCAAATATATACTATAATCTTAAAATAAAAACTAGCATACACTAAATTTTGAAATAGGTACTACTTAAAATAATGACAAATATCCTACAAATGACACAAAAAAAAATGTGATAATGAACACGCCGTTCACAAACTACAGATTTTCAGGAAGTAAAAGAATTTTCAACAAAACTTTAATACAAAAGAGTTCATAAATATTTTAAATCTGTTAAATATGCACACACTCACAGCCCTAAAACATCCAAACAGAGTAAAGGACTGATCTAGCGCACCAAAAATTAATTATTAAATCATAACAGTTAATGTTTTTAGTAATAATTATTTAATATAATGATTATTCATTAACAGTGAAAAATTTTTGATTTAAGTAAAATGAATTAAGACAATTAATTTTAATTCAACTTTTGCTAACATTTCAGGTACTTATTTTAAAATTCAGCAGTGATATGGACAGAGAATTGATACTGTAGAAAGCTAAGCATATAAGGCACTATCAAAAATAATTCATAACAAGACCTCCTGATCACAACTTACAGTTTATTTCGACATCAACCCCCCTCACCCTTCAAAAAAACATGTTGACTTACATTGTTATTTTACCTGTACTATTAAGAATACGACTTGTGATATTTATTATTCGATATGCAAATTCATTTAATACTGGCTAAAAACATTTTTTAAAAATGAAAACAACATTTAAATCATGGCAACCCTTACATTTTATTTACATCATGATATCAATTTCATTGAATTATTGTATGGCTCAAGACTAGTTAGAATTAATGAGGTACAAAAAAATCTGATGAATGTTAAATTAAAAAAACGCAAAATAATATGCAAATTTCAATAATATAAATTTTCTGAGCGGTAATGATTCAGGGGATAGAGTGTTTGTGATAGAGTGAGGTAAACCAGGCTCGAACTCCAGCGATGGCATTCGGTTAAAAGATTATGTAACTATATCATGGTATAAATGTGTACCAGATTTTCTAAGGGAACTTAAATAACTTAGAAAAGATCAACAATGTCTCAATTTCTTTTAAATAGCAATAGATAGAAAGAACTGAAATGCATGCAGCTGAATGTAAAGAAGTTAAGACAAATCAAACATTCATTATTAAAAAAAAAAACTTAGAGATAATGTAACAGTACAAAATTTAAAACTGATATTTTATTATAACAATTCCAGTCAATAGCAGCAACTAATTTTGTTAATTATCTTATTTAATAAGTTAGCTTTTTTTTACATTATCTTTTTAAATGCATTTCTTTTTATGAATGGTAATGAGATGTGATGAAAACAAATTTTTAAGTTCACCAGGGTCAAGTAAATAACAAATTTTGAGGTACCTTTTAATAGATGAAGGTTGGCTTTGGTGAAAGCTCATTCCCCCAAGGGTGAAAAAAATATTTAAAAATAAAATCTAACATCATTTACGGATGAACCTTGACACAAAATTAAAAGAGGTATCAAAATTGTAGACATTGAACCCTTATTTCGATACTAGCAGAAAAAACAAACCCTCTTTGGAATTTACTATCTTTTAACAGAATAAAGGCTAGAAAATACTCACACAGAATTGAAGAGATAAGCACGACCTTGGCTTCCTTGGAATGACTAAAACAAAACATATAAACATATTCAAAATATTACCTTACATACAAAACATATTCAAAATATTACTTTACATAGAAAACATATTCAAAATATTACATTAACTACAAATACAAAACATAAAAACACAAGTTTTATAAGATTAAAACTGCATTTCCCAAAAGTGAGCCATAATTTGAAAAATTAACTAAAGAAGAAACAGGATACAAAGTTGCAAAGTTTTGCTAAGTTCTAATCAGGAAACCAGAAAAAATTCACGAGATTTTACGAAATATAAATTTTATGATAATTGTTGCATAATGTACTAAACATTTTAAACATAGGGAATTTTAGGGATTTTTAAAGTCATCAAAGTAGAAAAACTGCAATATTTTTCAGTTATGATTGATATTAAACATACTTGAAATGTTACGTATTACGTTTACTGATAATATTGAATATTAATAGGCATTTAAATCATCGAAGATAGTTAAAATATTTTTTTAATTAATTTAAAAAGAAAGTTCTCCATAAAAATAAATTGAATATTTTAGGACAGAAAAACTTTTGAACTGATTTCTATAAATGAGGTTCGCTTCATTATGTAAATAATACTTTCTTAGGGAATTTTCTAAAATGAACAAAAACCAAGAGAATTTTAAGTAAACAAGTAACCCAGGAGAAATTGGCAAAATCCAGAAGTTTACTGGAAAATGCAGTAGAGTTAGCAGCTATAGTATAAAAATATAGTGTTAAAGTCTGACCACAGATGGCACTGCTTACAAAACTAAATAGTATAACATTTTCTTCTGCATGTCAGATCATTCTAGTTCAAGTATTTAATTTTTGAGAGAAAGACATTTATTGATTCATATGAAATAAAATTTTAAGTCTTGAATTTTGTGGTATTAAATTTAATTACAGAAACATTTATTTACGAGTCATTAAATTTGTAAGGGATAAAAATAAATGTATAATTTAAAAATGGATAAGAATGAAAATAGTATTTTGTAGTCAAGTTTAAAAAATTCTGAATATATGTAATTTTTGTGCCATAAATACCACATTTTTTTAAAAAATAAAAGTATCCATATATTTCCTTCAAATTTTTTATGAATTTAACTGAATGTGATAAATGTAAAAAAATAAAAGGGAAAAATATTGAACAGTCTACAAAAGTATACTAAAACAAATAGATGATTATCGATTAAATATTTAACTTTCAACTTTGCTTTTACAAAATTAAAACAGTGAGAATAGTGACTTTGTTTACAACAATATCACCTCCCAAATAAGAATATTGACACAATCAAACTCAGAAGAACAAACAATATTCTGATTTTAAAAATTCATATCAAATCAGTGAAAGTCATAAGGGTGAATATAAATAAATAAACTAGCAAAATTGAAGGAAGAAACACCACTGGTAAAGGTTTTTAAATTGTTAAATGAAAATATTTGAATAAATAAAAAATAATGGTTCAATATTTGAAGAGCTCTCTGCAATTCTAAGTTTTAGATTTAATTTTTATGTTGAATTTTCCAGATAGTTCATTTTCCGTTCTTGTTGGAGGAAACAAAAGTACAAGGGGATGAGAGAAAATTCTGATAGGATCAATAACTGGCTCAACCCACAACATCGATTATTTCCCTAAATTTTAAATTGAAGGACTTGAAATTAATCTTAATATAGTATTTTTACCATTAAATAAAATAAAAAAACAGAAATAGAGATTTTTTGTGGAGAACTTAAAAATATTTTGAATGTGAGAATTTTTTCCCCTCATACAGGGTCTAAAACGAAACTTAGAAGGAGACGGGCACGGGCGTAACGTGAAAGCACACTTTTTGTTTTTAGAAGATAGTTAGTTCATTTTAAGTTTTATACATAGAGTTACATATAAATGTGTATATATACATAACACTTAAAATGAACAAAACGGTTTTATAAAAATAAAAAGTGTGCTACCCCCTCACACTATGCCTATAGAGAGAAGTATTTAAAAATAGTATGTTGTGCAGCAAATGTTTTAAAGTAAATCAATGTTTTAAAGCGAGTATATAGCATTTTAAAATTTCTACACAAAAAATTCTTTTTTGTTTATTATTCAGGCATCTAAAAAATTTATTAGAGAAATTTTGAATTCAAAAATTTGTCAAAAAATGCCTAATCAGAGCACCATAATGCAGGTAGCAAATTCAAACAGGTCGTAGCAATTGATCATTGATTTCTAAAAGGAGTTTTCAGCAAATGTCAATAAAATTCATAAACATTCAAAACTTTATTTGTGATGATGCTGATTATTATTTCGATGCTGCTGTGCAAAACTATAAACACACTACATATTTAAGGTAATAAAATAAACAACGTTTTAAACTAAGTTTTGCACACAAACGAATAATATTAGATATAGACAACATAATAATAATCCTGATAAGTATATGTGTCAAGCAATTTGGATAAAAAAATAAATTACATAACTTTTTCCATATGGAACTGCAGAGGAAAATTCAATACCTTGCAGATAAAAAAAAACATTTAACATACTATAAGAATGCTTAAATATACCTAACAAAGACTAGTAAAAAGAAGGTACATAAGCAAACATAACAACTAATATTTACAGAGATTTATCGATATAATCATCTACTTATATAAATTAACTCTAAAAATTGGGATAATTTTGAATAACATGTTTGATTTTTACGGAAATAGAGTTGGTCCAGATCCTAACATCCTACTAAAACTATCAAGGGTGATGATAATAAAAAATATATTGATGCATACATGCACTCCTTCTTGACAGCCCTCAGTGGGCTAGAGCCTTCCCTAGAACCTTTTTCCATTCTGCTCTCTACTTAGCGATTGTTCTTCTGTCAGTAATTCTTAAAATTCTGAAATCCTTTTCCACACAGTCAAGCCATCTCATCTTAGGCCTAACTCTAGTTCCCATTGGTTTGTAATTGAAGATCTTAATTGTCAAGGAAGAAGGGTCCATTCCACAAGATGTAACCTGCATGTTTTAAGCTACTTATTTCGGTGTATTTGTTGATATCAGCTTCCTTGAATAGACTATACAGTTCAAAATTATGTAATTGTCTCCATAAGCCATACACATTTAGAACGCCGAAAATATTTCTCAAGGCTGTTTTCTCAAAAACAGCAAGCAGGTCTGCTCGCGATTTAGTTAAAGACCATATTTCGGATCCATGAGTTAAGACAGGTTGAATGATTCTTTTATATAACATTATTTCGGTTTGTGTTTATTTAATTTTGACTTCAGAAATGTTTAGAAAGCCATGAACCACATATGCAGTGCTCTCTCAAGTGTTTTTAGAAAGGCAGCTCGCACTGCCTGCCTTTTGATCCCTATAAATGCACCCTTTTTGTAAAAATAAGTCACTATCCCTTAAAAACACTGCCTTTTTATTCATATTCCATTTTGAAAAAATTTATTTGCAGTTTAAATAATAATTACACACTGGTAAAATTATCTGGGTTTATTGGTTTAATTCTGATAACTATTACTAATAGTATTTACTTTGTTCAGATTATTCTCAATTCTTAAAATTCTATAAGTATCTCTTTTTTTTCGCGGAGGGTGTATAAATAAATTTTTAACGGCTTTAAATTTCGTAATTAGTCTTTAATTAAATACCTTTTTTAAAAAATGCATTTTTATATGTTTATTTTCTCATAATTTTCAGTTTAAATTATAGAAAAAAGCTTTCAAGTTCTTCATAATTAATCCTTTATATTAGTTAACACTTTTTCTGAAAAAAATTTATGCACAGAGATTGTCTTTTAGCATGTCTTTAATTTTTTCATAAACTACAACATTTTCTCCCATTTTAATAATGAGAGAAAAGTATTTTCAGAAATATACACATAAAATAGTATAAGAGGGTAATTTAAAAATTGTTGAGGATCAAATTCAGTTATAATATAATATTACACATTTTGATAAATTTTTAGGGTGGTAATTGAGTGCCATTTCAAAACTCAAAGTGCCCTTATCTGACAGGCCTGCCTATTTTTTATTCCTAGTGAGAACTCTGCATATGTACTATCTCATCAGAATTTAGATTAGAGAGCTGATGATGATAGAAAGCATTTTTTCCTTAATTCAAATACCCATTCATGCAGGAAACCGTGTAGGGGGTCTGAATCTGTTAGGAACACTGCAATAGAGATGAGGCAGGATCGGACTTACGATAAAATTTTCAGAAATTACTATGAATAAAGTAAAATTTGTAAGGTATAAAAAAATTAAGTGATCTGATGCTTCGGTTTAATGTTTTTTTTTGTGCACTCATATTTAAATGACATCTTAGATTTTGTTAATTTTTTTACTTTAACCGATTACTTTAAGTCGATTCAGTCTTTTTCTTCACTTTTTATTTTACGGGTTAGTGATAAAAAGACAATTTCATGATTAATTTCCTTGTTTAGACATCAAAGGCCATGTGGCGAGAATTCGGCCTTTATCCTGCTGACATCTCGGGCAAGGATAAGAATTCTTCGAGCTTTGGCAGGCACAAATCTACAATAGTTAGCCCAAACTTATCTGCGCAACATTTCAAACCTTTAAGACAGAGTAATTAAATAAGACTTTAAGCGCAGAGAATGGAACCTCAGCTCAAGCTGTGGTAAGTGAAAATCGGCTGCCTTATTAGAATTGGAAAGAATAACAGAAAGAGGACAAACTAAAATATTAATGAAGACACAAAACAATTTCCACTGAATAATTTGCCTAGTCACATCAGATTCCTTTTTAATATAATCTAAAGAACAAACTTAGCCAGCTAAAAAAACTTTAAATTGTTGCCAACAAAAAAATAATGTTTTCAAGGCATTAGACAGTATGCAAAGAGAATTTTCTATACTGCAAGCTCAATTCACAGATGTGTGAGTCAGCCCGAACCTTTTCATTAAACCAACAAATCAGCTGTGGGTAAAAGTTCTATGTGAATGTGTAGAAAGGGTATTAAATAAAAAATCAAATTAACTTTAGTTAATAAGGGCATGGTTGGAAATTCAAGGTTGGTTTTTGCAATGGATAAAACAAACAGGTAAAAAATTTTGCAAAAACCTATAAAATTTAATTTGCGTGTAGTTGAAAATGTTATAATTCATATTTTAAATTCATATTCATATATACTTCATATTCATATTCATAATTCATATGTTAAAGATCAAATATTAAATAAATTTTTTTATACAATTTAATATATGTTGAAATAAAACTAAATTTAAACCACTACGTGGTAAATAAAGATGTGCAGGATGATCCATCGTTGCAAAGTTGTTTTAAAGACGTTCTAATAATAGAGAAAAAGAACTTCATTCAAAAAATAAAACATGTCATTATTTCATTTCCTTTCATAAAATTATGTTATATGAAACTTAAATTTAACCCCTCGACATATGAAGACCTCTGGGAGACATCATTTGTTTCTTATTTCAAAACAATAATTGACGTGTCTCAGACGTCTTCAACAACATAACATTGCGAGTTGTTGTTGTTTACAGTGCAATCATAATTTCTATATCAAGAAATGATATGTCAAGGGGTTAAATAAAAAGATCACTAGAAATACAGCTTTCACACAATGCTTTCTTTCTTATAAATGATGTTTTTCTTAAATTTAGTCAATTGTTTGTTTTTTGCTTGTTTTTTCTAAAAAAGTTTTTTTCTAATTTAACTTTCAACTCTAAAAGTAAATAATTTAGTGCACTCTGACAGCAACATGAGGGTGTATCATCAAAAAGAGCTCCTTAAACAAGAGCCTCAAACACGGATTTTTCGAAACATTTACTTGAATAATGTTAAATAAATAATTCTTTTTAAATTACGTAATCCAGTTGCTCTTTCAATCATTAATGATATAATGGAAATTAATTTTATTATTGCATTTATTGCACTCTAATTAAAAATTTTACCAACCATACTATGAATATTTTTACATAATATTTTGTTCTAAAATATCTGAAAAATATTACTGTTTAGGGAATCATTGTTTACAAATAGGCTATTTTCAGGTAGTGACAACAAGAGGGAAAAAAACTGTCTCAGAAATGTTTACTTTTTTAGAGAAGGTACTAGACAAAAAGAACATAGCAGTTACGCTTAATGTTTAAAAATGAAATGCTAGAATTATAATTTATTTTTTAAATTAAAGTGAAGGAAAGATAACATGGTGCTAGAATAATAATTTTAGTTATTAATCTATTCAAACGAATAATTTTAATGGATATATTTAACTATATGTCAGTCTTTAACTACTTTAAAAATAAAGTGAAACAAAATATCTTTTTAAACAAGCTTTTAAAACCATTAGAATCAATCTCTAACAAAAGTATAATATTCTCATAGTAAAGGAATGATAACTGTGATTATTATTTGATTTTAATAAAATAAATTAACTACATAAATAACATAAGTGCCATTTTTTCACAATAGAGGGAATTAGAAAAAAAAGTATAAGCTGCTTCTGAAGGTTGTTTCTATACATAGAATTAAATTAACATCATTTGTTCTTTAACTATCTCATTAGAAGAAGTTAAAACACTAATCAACACAATTTCAGAAATTAAATTAACTTCATAAATTTAAATGAAGGAATGAGAATGTCATCTTGACACTTATCAAATTTGCTGATTCGTTTCCTTTAAATTTTAAATGCACTAAAGAACTTCCCCCGAAGTACAGAAATTTATTTTGTAGTTTTATCAGTACATGTTCTTAGAGAATGTATATTGTTTCGACCTAAATAATGATATAGATCTGAAACATTCTAAATCGCAACTTGAGGGGAAAATATGAATTATGAATTTCGAACTTTTTTGCTCAATGAAAAACCCATTTAAAAGCTTAAAAATTAACTGAATGCATCTGAACAAAAGTATAGATATTTCAGTAAGAAATAATGGTCATATGGGGGGGAGGAGGGTAAGAGAAGGAAAGAGATTTCATAGATTTAAAAATTGATAAAATAATATTTATTTCAAACAAAATTTGAAACTTATAAGATAATATAATAAAAACATTTTCAAACTACATATTGAACCAGTAACTTATTCATTTTCTGCAGAAAGAACCAAAATATCCTTCATTTACATAATTTCAGAGATACCAACTTGCTTCAGGCGACGGATAAATATTTTTGAGTGGTAGTCTTTAAATGCATGATTCTTTGTTTAGTAAATTTGATTTATAGAGTTTCTACTCACCACTACTTCTAAATAAATCAAAGGTTTATGAAAGCTGACAATTTATTACAATTAAGCCATGTTGAGCCTTTTAAAAAGTTGGCAAAATTTATCGAAAATCTGTTAATTTTAGTTTGTAGGTCTCTCTAATTCTAGTTTTCTGTAGTTACGGCATTAAATGATACAAATGTACTTAAAAAAAACTTGTATGCCTTATGATTTCAGGAGTAGGTTTTTAGGAGTCTTAACCACCTTTAGAAACCAAAAACAACCCAGAACAGAAGCTTTCAGACAAATGAGGTTCTTCCATTTGTTAAAATGTTTGAACAAGTTCATAAAACAAAATGTTGAAATAACAGAAAAAAAGAATTTTTTTTTTATATTTCAATTATATAATATACACTAATCTACGTAAATATAAAGCAATTCACAAATTAAAGAAACAAAATCTTATACCTTTGATATCAACTCGTCATGATTAGCAAGATGTGCTCTACAGTGTATGCAACTGTAAGTCCGATGGCAATTTGGTAAATAGGCTTGGAAAGTCTTCACCATGTCGTAAGAGTAGTGTCCTCCAATCTTATTACTAGTAGTACTAGTGTTGTAGCTTAATGTAACGCCCGCCAGCTTTAAAAGATTTTTGTCACTATGTTTATTAAAAATAATAAAAAAGTAAAATCTTCCCACACCTAACACAACACAGTCACAACCAAATATTCAAGCTCGTATGACCAGATAAAAAAAAGTAACAGGTGGATATATCTACATATCACTTAGTTCACAACCTAAAAAGAAAAAATTCAAAAATTTAGAAGAAATGTTGTATATACAGACATTTTTTGATAGACAAAAGTATGTTCAAAAATAAAGTAAGGTATGATCTCCTCTAATTGTATTATAGTAATTCATACTGACATAAGTTTAAACTATTTTTTCAACAAACTACCATCATTAAATTTTTTTTAAACCTGGGTATCATATAAAGCTTATTTAGTTCGTAATATTTCTCAAAGTAAGTGGAAACCCTGTATATAATAGTGTTTCTTCAAGAGTTTTATTTTATTTAGTAACCGTCGTTGAACAGCCAACCCAATTTTTTGGGTTTACGACTACTAATGTTCGACTCAGTAGCCTTGTAATTTTGAACACAATCCAGAAGACAAGGGAACTCCTGGATCAAGTATTGGGAAAAATTTGCCTTCGTGGAGAACCTTTTGATGGAACTAACCCGCATTTGCGTTTAGATGGAGAGGGAAAACCTGAAGCAAAGGGGATTCTAAAAGCATTATTCGTCTACTCCTGAGGACATTTTACATCAGGTGAGGTCAGTACGAGCCAGGTGCGGAATTCATATTGACCAGCCATCGCTGGGATTGATCCCGGTTCACCTCATTAGAAGGTGAACGCTCTATCCCTTAAGCCATCACGGTTGTCTTCAAAAGTTTAAAAAAATTTTAATTTAAGGAGGCTCCATAAAGTCAATACAAAGGATGGTGAATAGCTTCTCAAAAAATATGCAGGAAACAAAAGGCATATTTGGACAAATGTTTGCATGCTTGAACAATGCAAGTTTGTATTGTGTACCAACTGTATTATTTGTCCAAAGTACACAGTATGGAGTAATGAAAGGGATGATAAATTTCATTTACTTTTTACTTAGGACAGAAATGCACAAATTTTAAAACTTTTTTCTTTCAAATAACAGCATACCATTTATTAAAAAATAAATATAAGACTGAAACTTTTTACTGACAACTCTGCATTCTGAGATGCCATGGAATATACAACTTAGGGAACTCTTATTATGCTACAAAAGGAAATTCCAGTTTCAGAGGGGGGGGGGAAACCACATGCACAAACGATAAGAAAGATTAAATTATGAATTAGTTTCAAATGTATAGGCTAATAATTACAACCGTTTCAAACTGTTGATGTTTCTAATTATTTGTAAGGTCCTTCTATTAACACTAGGAGGACAATCATCAATTATTAAAAAACTGAAATAAAGAAAAATATTCATTTTAAAAATGTATAATTACATTGAAATTTGCATTCTGTTTGTCACTAATTCTTATAAAACTGCATCTTTCTCTTTAGGTTTTGAGAAAAGACTTGAATGAACACTTAAGACTTCCAATGAATCTGGAAAAAAAAAGACCCAATATTATTGTGACACAAATACAATTGATTTTTGTCGTATATAATCGATACCTGCGAAATTAAAAAGGCTTAAAACTAGAAGAAATGTGCACATTTTACCATCTATGACAGGGCAATTTCATCTTCCAGTATCTCCAAAGGATTATTTTCATTTTGTTCTTTTCTATATGTGATTGATATGCACTTAAATTCACATACAAGCATAATCCTTCTTTATATGTTAAAGCTGCAATGAAAAGCCAGATGATTTGTGGACCTCACATCAATAAAATACACAAAATGCTCTTTATAAATTATATGAGAATATTCATTTTTGATTATACATGATAGATGCTTACGCTGTAAGTGGCACTTTTGTTTTGAGTGAAAAATATTTTTGAAATAATGGTAAAAGAATCTCCTCATAGCATAAGAAAAGTAATTAAATTATAGCTTTATCACAGTTACATTATCATATGTAGTTGAGTGTTAAATCGAATGAAGGGTCCAAAGAATTGCTGGTCCAGAAACATAACAATGACACTCGTACCATCACAAGTGACCTCTATCATTAGTTCGAAATAATCCAAAATAGTAGAGAAATTTGAAGAACAAGAAAAAGTAATTATTGCTTAATTATAGTCATATCATATAGTTGAATGTCAAATCGTCTCCAAAGTGGTCCTAGTTTGTTGATCAAGGACCACTACAACTAATCTCCAACCACCAACAGTGATCTTTGTTTTTAGTTAAAAATAATCCAAATGATGGTATAGGAATCTCATAGCTTAAGAAAAAAAATTAAATAATTGCTTTATCATAGTTATATTGCTAAGTTGAGTATTAAATTGAATGCAGCAATTCAAAGTAATGATGGTTTGTTGAGCACTAAAATAATCAGTGGTCCATCGGAGCAGTAACTTAAGTAAAGGGATAGAATATTACTTTGTTTCGGGTCTGTGTTTTTCGGTTCGATATCAGAGGGTGGAATATGAAGCCAGAAACTGAGAATACATTGCAAAATGCAGCAGAATTTTACCAAATGCAGCTCAGCAGATGTACATGTGAACTAGTAAGAATTTCATCAAACATGCAAAATGATTGGCGGTTCCATAAGCTATTGGGCAAAGGAGAAGCCGAAATAAGTTGAATTAATTGTGCAAACGTTGAATAGAGCAATATGAAAGCATATTTTTGCATAATGCGTGACAAAAATCGACACGGTAAAGAAGAAAAAAAAATCTCACTTTGGAAAAGGGAAAATTAAGCAGTTTTTAAAAACACCCAATGAAAAAAAGCACCTTTAAGGGCTTTTAAAAAACGAACATCAAAAATAAGCACTTTTTAAAAACGCTACGCACCATGTTTTAATCATAGTTAAGCAACAAAAACATATAATTGAATTGAAGAGAAATAGAATGAAAGACCAGAATCAAACACTTCAACTACTTCCTCCACTGTTCTGGAAGAATAATCAGAGTAATTGTTATGAAACCCATTGCTAAGAAACTGAATTAATGCTTTTATCAAAACAAGCATATATAGAGTTCTTCCTAGGAACAAAGCAGGACAGGGCTCTTCCTTTTCGAAAAGGGCGATTTGGGTTTTGAAACGACACTCACTTAACACCGCTAAAATTTTTATATTACGTAAAAAAGTGTAATATTATGCAATAACTGAATTTTATATTAAACAATATTTAAATTACTCTTGCCAAAGGCAATCTCTGTATATAATTTTTTTCTCAAAAAAAGTATCAAAAAATGATTGTAAAAGTAACAAAAATGTAAACTATCAAAAAATGATAAACAACTTGAAAGCTTTCTTTCTTCCTTAGTTTAAACTGATAATTATGAGAAAATGAACATTTAAAAGTGCATTTAAGAAAAGAAAAAAAAAAAGGTATTCAATTAAAATATAGTTTAAAACTGAAAACCATTAAAAAATGTGTTNAGAATGAAAGACCAGAATCAAACACTTCAACTACTTCCTCAACTGTTCTGGAAGAATAATCAGAGTAATTGTTATGAAACCCATTGCTAAGAAACTGAATTAATGCTTTTATCAAAACAAGCATATATATACAGAGTTCTCCCTAAGAACAAAACAAGATAGGGCTCTTCCTTTTCGAAAAGGGCAATTTGGGTTTTGAAAGGACACTCGCTTAACACCGCTAAAATTGTTATATTACGTAAAAAAGTGTAATATTATGCAATAACTGAATTTTATATTAAACAATATTTAAATTACTCTTGCCAAAGGCAATCTCTGTATATATAATTTTTCTCTCAAAAAAAGTATCAAAAAATGATTGTAAAAGTATCAAAAATGTAAACTATCAAAAAATGATAAACAACTTGAAAGCTTCTTCCTTAGTTTAAACTGATAATTATGAGAAAATGAACATTTAAAAGTGCATTTGAGAAAAGAAAAAAAAAAGGTATTCAATTAAAATATAGTTTAAAACTGAAAACCATTAAAAAATTTGTTACCTCCCTCCCTGAAAAAAAGATATTTATAAAAATTTAACCAGTTGAGAATAATCCTAACAAAGTAAATATTTTTAATAGTAATGAGAATCAAACCTATTTCACCAGCGTGTAATTACTATTTAAATAAGGAATTAATTTTTTTCAAAATGGAATTAAAATGTGTGTCAGTGTTGAGTGGAATCAGTATTTTTTTATAATTACCAGCTTAATTATGCAAAAAGGGCTAAGAGGGCACATTTTTTGGGATCAAAAGGGGGGGGAGGCTATTAAAAATGCTTAGGGAGAACACTGATAGTTGAATTGAAGTGAGAAATTGATTGAGTATTTATTTCCTCATTCAAAAAGTCCTCTATTCAATTTTTAAAGATAAAAAACACAAAATGCTTAAATTAAATTCGTATTTAATTCCAGTTACTTACTTTTTGTTAAAACCAGAGGAGGGTAAAGATAGAAAAGCATTAAAAACCAGTTGCATGCAACATTTGACCATCATAACGATAAGCGATTTGTTCCATTAGATATCAACAAAGAATTTTATGCTAATGAATTTTAACAAATTAATAGTACTAAAAGCAATTAAACAAAATTCAATAAAAATTTGAAATTATTTATTAATGTTAAAAAAGTTAAAAATTCTGACACAACTAGGAAGTAAAGTAAGCACAATGCATTTTGGAAATGGTAAAAAGTTAGTGAAAAAGAATATCTTGAAATTGAATTTTGCCCATAAGTTTAAGGACGAGAAAAGTAGGGAATGAGAGACAAGTACCTATTTATTAAAATAATGGAGAGAAAAAAATCTAGGCTGTCAGTAAGTGATTTTAAATTTATTCAACTCTCTAGGGGTGTTTATAATTAATTGCAATTTTGTTCAAAAGTTATTTGAGAAGATAATTTATATAATAAAAAATAAGGTAGAAATGTCAACATAACTAAGAAATGTTATAAAAATAAAAGAATTTCTTCTAAGAATTCTGCCTACTAGTGACTTTGTAATTTCTTTTGCCTACTTATATCTCAAACGTATTCTTAAAATCCTAAACATTGACAATTGTGTAGTTTGATTGAAAATCTCAAAAAACCGTTAACTCATTCAAATAAATTGCAGTTTATACACATATTTTACATATGCATTTACTCTATATTCAATTTTCAAACCTGAATAGAATTGTAAATGTACATTAAGTTTTACTGCGCAATATTCTAAAACAATTATTTATAATCGAGCAAAGATATCAAAACGTTAACATCATTAGGATGACGAATACTGAATTAGAAGATAGATTATGTGGAGGACAGCTGAATACTCCATTATTTTGAATTTTAGTTCTGCAACTCAAACTATTAAACAGAATAGTAATAAAATTTCTGGCTAACATTAAGCACTTTATGATACACTAAATCCTAAATTATAATCAGGAATTATTAAAATGCAGTACTAGATGGATGATAATTTAAATACTGAACACAGAAAAACACAAAATCATTTTAAGCTCAAGAAAAGATTTTTTTTTTAACAGAAAGTGAAGAAAAAAAATCTTTTTTTTTTTCATTTATAAACAATTTGAAAAAAGACATCTCATTTATATTTGTAGCGTCTTGTTTATGAGTTATTTGTGAAAAGAAAGAAAATCTGAAATTATTATTTATGAAAACACAAAAAGAAGATTATTTAGAAGCTAAACACTACACCACATTTTTTAATTTTAGATCTAGAATTTATATTTTATAAACAGAAAAGGAAGTAAAGCAACTTGTTTAATAATCAGCAATTCGCTGTTCAAATTTATATCACATTGTTATCAAATCTAAGATGATGATGTCAGTAAACAATGTCCATTGTGAATCGAACAATGCCAGGCAAAAATTTTTTTCCAATTTTGGTAGCCCTTCTAATGAGCAGTGTTGGTGAAAACCTCAGATTTCCAACCAAAAAAGAGAGGAAAACTCAGTAGAGTAGCTAGATTTTTAAGCATGTAGTAATATACATTAAGGAAGAAATACATAACCATTAATAAATAACTTACTCATCACAAAAATAGAGAAAAAAATGATAAAATAATATGTAAGTAGCAATACATTGAGGAAGAAATACATAACCAAGTAAAAAAAAAAAAAAAAAGAGTTACATAATTAACAATTTCATGAAATTGAATCGATTTGTATGGCATTACTTAAAGAGATTTTTATTATTCTTAACATTCCAGATTTTTTTTGGTCAATAAATATACAAAAAACAAAAAAATTTCAGGTCAGCAGATTTCACACCTTAATTTAAATCAGTTTTACACATTAGATAGCTTTAATAGAAATAAATCTTATTCAAAAAAAGTAATCTGAATGAAAATTTTCTGGTAAATCAAAATTACCATTAAGTTATAAAATCAAAAGAACAAGATTGTCCCTTAACAACGTCCAACAAAGCCAAGCAATCAATCACTTATTTCTTCGTTTTCGATTTATAAATTGAATTAAAAATGAATCTAAACTTAAAAACAACACTCTACAAAATGATTTGTTTTGTATTCTCTAGTAAATCTCTGGCTCAATATTATCTTACATTTTGTTATTATATCTTGAAAACGCGATTGTCAGTACATTATGTCCAAGATATTGATCTACCTACCAACAATACCAGGCAAGCAATAGCCAATTTTGATTGCGTTTGTTAAGAGAATCAGACTTATGAAACACATTAAATGATTTTTGCAGTAATGAATTTGAACTTAATAAAGCTCTACGAAATGATCAGTATTGTCTGGTTAATCAACATTACCATAAATTTTGTTATAAAATCTAAAGAAGATATTGTTACTAAATAGTGTCCAATATTGATCTACTAACAATGCCAGGTAAACAATTTCCAATTTTGATTTTTTTTTAAAATAGTCTCGAGAAACATATTACATAGTTTGTACAGAAATGAATCGAAACTTAAAAATGTAACTCGCAGAAGTTCATGCATACTCTCTGATAAGAAAAAACAATTTAAAGGTATATTGTACAAATTTAAATTGCATATACAAACGGTTCATGCTTAAAGGTAAATTTCATCTTGTCCAAAATGACGCAATGTTCAATCAAAACAACGAAAATTTAAACCTGCGGTGTTGAAATTCTTTATTGATCTATAACAACGTATACATGAAACAGCCACGATATTTTATAAACACAAAAGAACAGTATCCCTTATTTAGTGTGTACTAAATCTTGCTATCGAAATAGATATTCTTAGAAATAGCTCCATTTTAAATAAATAGATTTATTGAACTGCTGTTTAAATAACGTATAATAACATCAGCAATGCGCAGAAAAAGCAAAAAAGGATCTAAACCACTCAGTTTGTTGTTGTTATTCAGGAAAGGTATAGCAACAACGACTTAGAAGATTTTGTGAATTATTTTATAAAATTATTTCATATAGAACTACCTTTTACACTTTTTTAAGTCAAAAGGACGTTAATAGGATAACAAATTAAAAAATTATCGAATATTCCGCGAAACGCGCAGTTCTGAAAGTATGGCTGCTGTGTTTGTTTACATGCGCGAAATTTATGCTCGCTGTGATCTTTTAAAATATAAATACACCTTACGTTAAAAAAACTGACTATGAAACTTACGGTACATGAAGAATTTATATCTTGAAATGACCATTCCAACTATTTCCTCTAAAATTATCAGATTCCTACCACGTCGAGTAAAATCCGCAATTATTCCGTCGAAATAGATGCAATGCAGACAAAATCGCACGAGGTAATAGTCTTGTAAAAGAAATAGCTCCCCAGAGCTATTAAATAATGATGAAAATAGAACTGAGAAGTCGTTGATTACAATAATCCGTTTTGTATAATGCTCTTTGTTTGGGTTCCGTACGGAGTCAAAGGATCATAGAAACGGTAGGTATCCGCGAAACAGCTGCTTTCACACCACAAGCAAAACATAACAATCTGAGCCTCTGCGCAGCTGATTTGGTGCCGAAACCCTCAGTTTCTAACGGACCAATCAGAGTGAAGCGCTGCGCTCTACGACACACTAGGACAGCGAATTTCAAGGACATTGGCCTCTAAACAGCTGGATCACGGCCAAACAAAGAACTCCATGTGACAGGTTTTTCAGACTCGAAAAATCATTAAAATTATTATTTTAAAGCCCCCATGAAATAAAGCTTCGTGGAGTATTATTAACACGTCTTTAAAATGAGTTGCAAGGCGAAAAAACTTCATAAACGAACGCTTTCAGCATAAATAACGAGGTTTCGTTTGAATCGCTTTAGCGTTCGATTTCCGCACTGTTTCTGGGGGGATTTTCTGAACTCCATTCAAACTTTACTGTTCTTTAAAATCAATCGTTTTGTTTAAAATCGAGAAAGCGGAATTATTGAAAAATGCTGAATTTAATAAAATTATTATGTATTTAATGCGGAGATTTTTTTTTCCAAAAAAAAATGAATACATTTATTATGATTTTAAAATTTTATTGCATGTAAGCGTATTACAAAATTAAACTATATCAGCATACGAAATACAAAAGCATTTTGTGTAAATTTTGAGATAGTTGTATTTATTAAGTTTATTTTTCCCCATTCTTTGTGAATTTGAGAATCTATTGGAAAATATTTAGTTAATTTTAAGATCCTTGGCAAATAAAACAATATTGGGAAAACTTTTTTCATTGTACTTTGTTTACAATAAATTATTGACAAAAAGTTCTATGGAGATTACCATAAAACATTTTGAACCGGATCTGAATAATTTAGGTTTTTAAATTTCTTAGCATGACTTTTTAAAATCGACGCTCTAATTAAAATTAAAATTGTCCATTGCACTTGAATAAATTTAACAAATTGAAATGTAATCTGTAATGATGTTGTGTCTCTTTAATCCCAAAAATCACAGCATCCACGTGGTGTTATCAGATTACAAACCAATATCGCTAAAAAAAGATTAATTATTACCGTGGGAGCACCAAAAAGGTAATTGACGAAAATTTGTTTCTATTTTTAAATTTTTTTTAAAAAATAAGTAAACAAAAGATAAAAGCAAACTATTCACATAATTTGTATTTAAGCAGTGGTCACAGAGACTTGTTTTCGATGTGTACCACACGGACTACAGCAGCATGTTAAGAATTCAAATAATAATATTTAATTATATAACTGTGAACTGCTTTGGATTTAAAATTAATTGAAATCTAAAAATAAAATATTTCATTAGTTATAGACTTTTTTTAAGTTTGAATAAATTGAATTTAAAAGTTTAAAAAAAAAATTATATTTGTAAACACTGTGTGAAAACTTCAACTGTGACTTTCTGTCTTTGAGAATCTCTTAGGGATATGACCTTAGAGCAGAGACCGTCCTACGTGACGACCCAACCGGGCGTTCTGAACAATCATTTATAAACTAGGAAACACTCCTTTTGTAATTTTGACAAGAATGTATAGTTTTCTTGGGTTATCGTTGTTAACACCCCCATATATGTTTTCTTCTTCTTCTTTTTTTTTTTAAATCTCTCATACCATCTCAATATGGGTGGTCTGGTCTTTTCTCCCTCCCTCACTCACACTGATCATTCTGACAAATTGATATCCTGAATACTTTATTTCTGTAGATAAAGTTTTTAAAAACGCGGGGAGAATTCTTTTCTCATTTGATTTGTCCAAGTGAATTTGTTATTCAATTGTGGACAACAATCATATCTTTTTTCCACTTCTTCTGCTTGAAAAAATTTAGACTATATTTTTCCTTTGTACCTTAAAATGAAAAATCTGCTTTATATTTTGGATACTATTTTGGCAATTATGCTTTAAAGATTTTCGAAAAATCCACACAAAGTAGAAAAAAGTAAATAAATAAAATAGATAAATGAATAATATAGATAAATTAATAAAATGCAGGAGCTGATTATTTTAATATAAAAAAATTTCTTGAAATTGTTAACATGCAAACTCATATTTGAATTGATTACAGTTTCTGCAAGTTTATAAGGTGAAAAACATTGAAAATAGTACAATTTTTAAAGAATCACAGAAAATAAATAAATAAAAAAATCCCCCCAAAGCATTAGCTATTATATATATTTAGCTTCTAATTCTATCCAAATTAATGAAATAAAATATTTATTTGAGGATAATTAGATACTTTTTAAAAAATTAATGAATATACAAATTTTAAATCGAAGTTAACCGAAATGAAATAGTTATACATTATTTATTTTTATTGCAATTGGATACTTGCATTTCAAAAAGAAGAAGATCACGGATGCCCCTACTACGTCAGCTGCAGGTATTCCATTGTATAATGTACTATCTGAATACCCGTTCTTCATATATGCTGAAAAAAAGCGATTAATCAATAAATAAGAACAAGTAGGTAGGTACTTTATTTACATAGCACTAGAGCTGCACAATGGGCTATTGGCAACGGCCTGGGAAACATCCCTGAGGATAATCCGAAGAAATGCCATCGCAATTTCTATCGTCTGCAGAGGGGATGGCTCCCCTCCTTTGGTAGCCCGACGACCTGAGAGTGAAGTGTAAGCACTTTATGGCAGAACAGTATAACGAAAGCCGGTACCGTGCACCCTAGATCCGTACGCAGGCTGATCAAAATTTTCACCCACCCGCCAACTGACCGCACCCAGTGATGCACAGTTGAATGTTAAAGAACTTGCAAAAAATTTATTTTTTAATCAATGACAGTCATAAGTTAGCAGACATCAATTAGTTACGGTTTAAATATTTGAGGGGAAAAAATCAGCTGCCGTTTGATTTTTATCAATGGCCAATTCGAATGATGCAATTCCTTTTTTAAAACGTCTCTCCCGAAGGATCTTCATTAAAGTTTTGAACGATTTTTAGTATTGTCCCTTGCTTTTCGTTCTTCACCATTTTATGGAGCACGTAATGTATTTTTAGCCATTTATAATATTTCTAAAAATATGATACTTCACTCTAAAACCGGTAAGAAAAAAAAATTTCTTTATTTTTTTTTTCTTGCCTATTTAGAACTATTGTTGGAAAATGCAAAAATTTACAGCAGCACGATCAAACTTACTTGTTTTCTCAGATTAATTTGATATGTTTCAGTGCTGACGGTAATTTTAGTTTAACCCTTAAACGCAGATGGGATAGCGGTGTACCGTATATTTATTATTCTCTGACCATCTCATTACAAGTAAAAATATATTTTGGTATATTTTTATTCTAAAAAACAGTCTGATAGTTAATAAAAAAATATCTCAGACTATATAAAATATATTTGCAATAAAATATAAAATCCGTAAAAAGTAATTGAGCATTTTCTTATCATTCATATTAAAAAATTTATTAATAATTTTTGTTTGCTAATGAAAGACATTTCAATGATGGATAACTGTTTATCTTAGAACTAAATAACTGCAAATTTAAAAAATTATTTCTTGGAAATGAGGCGCGTTTGCAAGATTTTACCTTTAACGTTGCAAAAGACGCCGACATTTCGTGCTATATTTAATAATCATAAATTATTAAAATGGTAAATATAATATTTTTCACTTATTTTGACTAAATTAAAACGAAACACTGAAGAAAGTATGAAAAATATGTTTAATAAAAAAATTTTCTTCGAAAAATTAAAACATCACTGTCTCGGAAATTTCAGTTCAAAGTATAAATGTTTACATATATTATGGTCTTTCGAAAGTGTTTTTCAAAAGTATATTTTAAAAATAGAATAATTTTACCATGTTTTTTTTTTTTTTTTTTTTTTTTTGTGTGTGGTTGAGATACGTTTTAGATGTTTCATTTCTGCTGCATTAACAAGCATAGAACCAATTTTAAGTTGATTCCAATTTTAACAAATGAAATAGTCCAGATGGACAAAACACGGGGTGATATTTCATTAACTGGAACAAAACAACTCGCAAAACGGCTCCGTTCGCAAATGTTTTGTTTAAGTAACAAAAAATTTGTTGTGTAACAAAAAATTAATGCATATTACAAACTTTATTTTGTTTTTTAATTGTTTAATATTGAATTAAATTCTTTTAACAAACTTGATAATTATCTCTTTTCAATGTTTTTAACCAAACCCTTAATAAGTGAATTAATCTAAAGGTTTCGGGCTAAATTTTTTACTTGAAATCGAAAAGAAAAGAAAAAAAAAACTATTCGTAAACTTATATCATTCTGCAAAATCATTCTAGTTTAGAGAATAGCTAATACCAAATGTGTTATATTTGTGAAGAAGAAAAAGTCATTGGAATAAGGGCAGAGCAGATCAGGCCTGAAAGCGAGACTGAAAAAAGAAAAAAACTGGTGGTAGAACAATTTCAATAATATATATTATTCAGAAAGAGTAAATCTATCTCTAACAATAAACAATTCATTGCTATTAATTTTTTCTCGGGGACGAAATAATTCAATAGATAAATTGTATCCGTTAAAAAAAGATTGGTAGTTAGGGATATTTTATTATTCCCGAAAAAAGCTAAAATTGAAATTTATTTGTTACAAGCTTTTACTCTTTTCCGTTTCGATATATATTGACTTTCAGCCCTGGAGCGGACTCACACCAACGACTGTTTACTACTACATCAAGCCAACAAACTCTTCTCCTCACCATCTCTAGGAGCTTCGCTCGAAAATCTACGAACATTTCATACAGATGAATGAGCTAAAACCATTAAATTGGCTGCTACTCAGATAAACATCTCACATAGGGAGCAGGACATGTCTACATTTACGACGAATGCTGGTTAATTAAACTACACAAAGCAAAAGGTACTATCAAAATAGATAAAAAGAACAAAAAAGTGTAATTTATAAAATATAACTTATTGGTGAGATTCTGAAATAAAAAAGAAAATTTGTAAGTAACTTTGTTTTGTGGAGGGAGGCACCGAGAAAATTTCCTTTTACAACTTTTCTCAATGCGTTTATGCAACTGCACATGAAAGTGTACTCCATGAGTATTGCTAATCTACGATATCTCACAAAGGAAATTTGAACAATAAATAAAAAAGCTAGCTTCCCTATCAGATAAAAATATTAAATATTTCAAGGATGCACGTGCAAAACCTGATATTCATATGTTTTAACTGCTAACATTCATTTTCAATTGCTCACTAAGTTTTAAAAAACGTATGTTTACATAATTATGTACTTCATTTTTACTATAAATTTGCGATCAGCTAGGACAGCCGAGTTGGCAGCTTTGAGATATTTATAAGCTTAAACAAAAATTAAAACTCAGTATTGATTGATTGTTCCAAATATATCGTTAAAGGTCGGGATAGCCTGGTTGGTAGGGCACTGGGCCCATGTCTAAGAGATCGTGGGTTCGATACCTGCCGGCCGAAAACTCCCCGTGTAGTAAATGGTGACAGTTAAATCTGTCGAGTTGCAAAGTCCTCTATGTTCCCATATCAAATAAATACCTCTGGGGGGTCAAGGAGTTTCCTTGTCTTCTGGATTGGTTCAAAATTACAAGTCTATGGAGTTGAACATTAGTAGTCGTAAACCCAAAAATGAGGTCGGCTGTTCAGCGACGGTAATAATATATATATATAT